ATGCATTCACACTGGTATTACCTTTTGAAATCCTACTCAACACGAGAAGTGGAAACCCTAGTATGAAAATACCATGAGATCCACCAAAAAAAATGGTTCAATAAAGAATTTGAAAACTTATTTTGGTTTTATTAATTATAATGGCACAAATTGCTTTAATTTTCCTGATTGCAATCCTAGTTTGGGATAGAAGTAACACATTTTCCTAAGATTAATTTTTAGGTATAATATTTTTTAAATATATTGGCTATTGGTCTAGGTTTGGTAAAAGAGTTTGGCTATTATATTTTTGTTTTCTTAAGTTATGTAGTGATATATACTATTGTTTAAGAGAAAACTCTTTATATCCATCACTTTTGACAAAAACTGTGTAACAAAAAGATTTAAAAGACGTAGAAATAAAATAATTTTTTTATAAAAAACCCCGGTCAGTTTAGGACCATGGCGGCCTGCCCTGAGAAAAACAAAGCTTGTAAAACCCTAGCCCAACCCGAACCCAAAATTTCAGGATAGCCTGGCTCTGCCCTACACAATGACGAATGTTGTGACGCTCCCTTAAAAAAAAGCTTATTTGTGAAGTGTACAAAAACGAAAATAGTTTCAAATGCACGAATTTTCTAACAAGGTCCGCATGTTATGTTTTTTTAATTGTTTATATTAGGTGTTTTTTTTAGTGCTGCTAAATGAATCCTAAAATTAATTGAGTATACCCTAATATTTTAATCAAAATATAAAATTAACTAAATACACCTTATTTAACTACCAAAAATAGTTATGGTACACCCTAATACACTCTATCACACAACACCAAACCCAAATGATGATGATAGATAGATAGATAAGTTAAATTAAGAGTGCTGCTAAACAAACCCTAAAATTAACTGAATACACCCTACTATCAAACTATTTATTGAATTACTAATTTATCCTAATATAAAATGACCCAAAAGGATATTTTGAATTGTGAAACAAATGTAATTTTAATAAGTACACCCTATCACCATATTCAACCCTAATAAAACATAAACGAAAAATCCTACCTCAAAAACTCTGTTATTTCCTTTTATTTGACAATAAAAAAGATTAAAAAACCTCCAGATACCAAGCGAGTTCATACCTGCTTACTTGGAATTGAAATTGGAATTTGTTAATTGTGTATTGAAATTCTAAAATATTGAAGAAACCCAATTCAATTCGGGTGGAATTTGGTATATGCGTGTTGAGTTGATGATAGTGTGAAAGTGTAAAGAAAAATACAAAACGGTCTTTGACTCTAAATATAATTGACACTTGCAAAGTGCTTGCTTTAGAAAAATATATAAGATTATTGTACGGCACGAAATTGTTTGTCGTGGTGCCAAGTGTGGGAACGTGACTTCTTTGCTGGATTTGAATGCTTCCAAATTCCAATTACGCGAGAGAAGACTGAGGAGGCTGGGATGCATTCACACTGGTATCACCTTTTGAAATCCTACTTTTTTTTTTTCTTTTTTTTTGGTCGAACCTTTTGAAATCCTACTCAACACGAGAAGTGGAAACCCTAGTCTAAAAATACCATGAGATACACCAAAAAAGTTACAGCTCTGTGATCAATCTAAACATAAATTATGGTTGAATATGGTGAGAATTAAAATTACATTTGTTTCACAATTCAATATATCTTTTTTGGTCATTTTATATTATAGTAAATTAATAATTCAATAAATATTTTGATAGTATGGTGTACTTAGTTAATTTTAGGGTTCGTTTAGCAACACTGTTTACACCGATACTACTCATACATACTCATGGTTTAATATTTCCCACAATTAAGTCGCAATCATCTGCATTAGGATCCACTATTCATATTTCATTGATACGTAAACTAGGCTTATTGTAAGGATCTCTCCATTTATGCCTTAATGTATACATTTGATTTCATAAAATGTCAGCCGAGTACAAAAAAAAAAAAAAAAAAAGTTTTTCTACCTCTTTAAAAAACGATAGTACAGTTACGTGGTATATTTTATATATGTGTTATAATATAAGTGTATATTTATTAATACTATTTCCTAAAAGAGGAAAATAAACATTATAGTCCACCCATATTATAATACGTGTACAAAATATACCACGTGACCATATTACAATAGTATTCTATAATTTCTTTTTTGTAACGGGTTATGTGTAAGCTTAAAATATAAATAATATGTCCATTTTCTTTAGAAGGATTGTCATAGCACTTCTAACTATTCTAATACATGAAAAATGTATGAAAGAGCGAACACATTGTCTTAACCAATTGACCTAACTCACAATTACGTCATTTAATTCATTTAATTTTTGTTCACCACCGAGTATTGCGGTAATATCGTTCTTTTTGTTTTTTGGTCTGATTGACTAGTCATGGTGTTTTACACATACAAAATTTGTTTTTTTTTTTTTTTCCACAACTACACATACAATATTTGAGTATCCAACTTTTCAAATAGTCTTTTATGCAAGATTTTTTTTTGGTCATAAGTCTTTTATGCAAGATTCAGTCTGTCAGTACTCGACTTTTCAAACCTCCCCAAGTGCTGTGTCCGAAAAACAAAAAGAAGAAACACCTTTCTATAGCAGGCGTTGAAAAAAACCTCCCAACTCTTTCTTCTTCGCTCGCTCCAATTCCAACAGACTCGGAGGAGGAGGGTGTTTTCAGTTAGAAAGTTCCCAGTTTGTACAGGTTAATCTCTTTTCTTCTGCATTCATTTCTCTTTTAAGTTGTTTCTTCAGTTATAAACTTTCTTCAGTTACCTTCCTTTATGTGCTTCTATCTCTCTGTTTTAAGTGTGTCCATTTTATTATTTTTACTTTAGATCTGTGTGTCAAATTAATAATCCTCTGAATTCTGGCTCAAGTATGACTTTTTCCTTTTATTTTTGGTTGAACTAATGGGATTGTGTAGTTCTGAATTGTTTAATTTAGCTTGTTGATTTTTTTTTTTTTTTGGTGTAGTTTTGGAATTAATTCATTTTATTGCTTTTTGGCAATGTGGCTCTGGCTCTTCTAACATCAAACCATACCTTGACTTATTAGTTTCTCTCTTGTAATGGTAATGCAGAATAGTCCATTGCTCTTTTCTGGGTTCTGATTGAGTCAGTAGAAGTTTGGGAAAGGATAGCATTTAAAGGGGTTAGAGTAAGTATGGCTTTGCTACACTTGTAATTGAGCTGTGCAGTGGTGGAGGATTTTGCTTTGGCCAAATTGGTTGGTATTCAAAAGATTTTTGTAGGTAGCAGAAATGACTTCTGTTGAATTTTGAGGATTTACAATCCATATTCCTAATTGAGTGACACATAAAGATGATTGGGAGAAAAAGCATGGGGCGTGCATCACCAATACTTTTGGTGCTTTTGGCACTTGGGTTTTTCTTTGCTTCTTATAATTTGTTACCCTTGGTAATACACAACAAGACTTCGTACTCAGGGCTTTTGGGGGCGGATCAGTTGATAGAGCCCGTGATTCAGAGGCGTGAGAACGCGAAGAATTTGAAATATCATGTTGCTCTTACAGCCACTGATGCTCCCTATAGCCAATGGCAGTGTCGGA